TCTCTCCTTTCTCTCTCTCTCTCTCTCTCTCTCTCTCTCTCTCTCTCTCTCTCTCTCAACTCTCTCTCTCTCTCTCTCCCTCCCTCCCTCCCTCCCTCCCTGCCTCCCTCCCTCCCTCCCTGCCTGCCTGCCTGCTCCCTCCCTCCCTCCCTCCCTCCCTCCCTCCCTCCCTCCCTCCCTCCCTCCCTCCCTCCCTCCCTCCCTCCCTCCCTCCCGCCCGCCCTCCCGCCCTCCCTCCCTCCCTCCCTCCCGTCGCACGCCCACACCCCAGCACCGCCAACATACCACGGGAGAACACGGCCGTCATGTCCCCGTCGGGTAAGCTGGAGTGGGCTCAACAGTGGCCTCGGGAGCTGCACACCAAGGCTTGCAGGCGGTGGCTCGCTCTTGCCCGCGAGCGCTGGCTTGAATCTATCCCGGTGCCACAACCGCCTCAAAAGGGTGAGTGGCGACGCAAGCGTAGCCCTGTGCAAAGGCAGGTTGTGCCACGGAGACCAAAGACCGAAGAAGAGGAGCTTCAGGTGGCAGCCCGCCGCGGCATGAGCGACCTCGGCGCGGTGCCTGGCCAAGATGGCCTTTGGCCGACGCTGGGGCTTCGCGCGTTCAGGGAGGCTCTCAAGAGCTGCAGTATTGTCGTGGGCGAGGCGGGAACTCGCTCGGCGGAGCCATCCTTCGCGCACGCCCTGTTTCGCGTCTGTGACGCCGACCAGGACGGTGTTATCTCCCTCCCAGATCTCGAGGTCGCGCTCTCTGCCTCCTCCGGTCGGCGAGCTTGATTTTTTGCTAGAATTGATAATACCTCGATTACAAAGAAAACTGCGCCGTCGGCGTGGCCGGAGTAAAAAAGTACATTGGTTGTGTCGGGCAGCAACAGCGAGGGTTAGCGCGAGAGCAAATGCTAGCGTCGGTCGGGTGCATCCGGCACCTCCCAGCTCATCTCTCGGCCGACACGGTAGAGCTCATCAATCGCAGCGTCGAGGACAGCCTGCCCCTGGGCACGAAGTTCAACGTACCTACGAGGACAACTCGAGCTCTGAGCGCGCCGCAAGTTGTCCGGTGCGCGCGGTGCGCTCAGAGCACTTGTCGTAGATCTGCAGGGCAGTCCGCGCATCCTCGATCGAGTCGTGCGTGTCGTGGAGCCGGTTGGACATGTGAATTTCGCACATGTGGAAGGCAAGGAAGCGGAGCGAGATGCGGCGCTTGCCAGGCGCCCAGAAGAGCTCGACGGTGTCGAGCACCTGCCCGAAGCAAGTGTCGACAGCGCATGAAGTTGTGATCTCTAGGAGGGGTATGGGAGGTGTCGAGCACCTGCTCAGGCGGCACTCGCATGTTGATCATCTCGAAGTCCTTCTTGAGGCCGTGCCCAACAAAGACGCAGCCAGCGTCGACCAGCTGGCGCAGCTTGAGGTAGGCCGCCTTCATAGTGGTGATGTGGTGCGGCGAGACGGACGGGTCGAGGTCCCCCGGCCGCAGCCCAGAGAAGCGCGTCAGGTAGTCGACCACCGGCTCCGCCTGGGCGATGTACGAGTCGACGAAAGCCTCGCCGTGGTGCGGCCCTTGGCCGCGCACGCAAGACACGCGCGCAAGCGCGAGCCGCGCCGGCTTGACCACCACGTTGGCGCCTCGCTTGCCCCGCCGCGTCACCTGTGGGGGGCGGGCTTGGCGCGGGTGGGAGGAGATTGCGAGCAGAAGAGTCGGAAATACGAGAGGAATTGGGGGGTGGGGGGGGTTTGAGAAGCGCGCCTCCTCGGAGACGGCGATGAACTCGGCGTCGATCGCAACGAGCTGGCCAGTGGCGAGCGGAAGCTCCGACAAGCCGAGCGGCTTGAAGGAGGGCTTGAAGCCTGCAGCAGAGATGGCTGAGCCGGCCGCAGGCGCCGGCACCTCCAGCAGCGAATACTCCGGCGCGATGTCAGCCGCAACAGCCATACGCTCGGCGGGCCGGAGGGGCAGCGCTGTGAGGTCGACAGCCAGGCTCCTGCGGGCAGCGGGAGGGGCAGCAACGTCGACAAACAGGAGGGCTGGCACCGTGGGGGGGAGGTGCCAGGCGGAGGCGCTAGAGAGGCGGGGAGGTGTCAACCATGCGGACGGTGCCGGAGAGGGGCGAGAGTCGCACCGCCGCGTGTAGACCGCGATGGCCGGCCGCTTCCAGAGCGAGTGCGCCCGCCGCACCTCCTCCTCTGCCGCGGGCCCGAGCGCAAAGTCGTTCCACACGAACCACTCCGCCGCGCCGTCCCAAGCCGCCGCGGCCGCCTCCGGTGTGTACTCAGGCGCCACCGCCGAGTCCCGCCCAACGGACGGGGTCGCCGCTGCAGCGGTCGACGGCGCCGCTGCCAGAGACGCCCCCCCCTGCCCTCCCTCCCCCCCCTGCGCTCTCTCCTCTGCAGCCGTTGCTGAAACGGCACCACTCTCGAAGCCCGCCGCCGCCGTGCGTGCGGGGGGCGTGTCGAGCTTGGGCACGCGGAAAGAGAGGGTGAGGTGGCCCGAGCCTTCCTTGGCGTGGACAAACGTGCTTCTGGTGAAGCTCATCAGCCCCCGCAGCTCGTACTCCTGCTCGCCGTCGCCGACGCCGCCGCCCGCCTCGAGCGCGCGCACAGCCGGCGCATCTACGCCCTCCGCCGCCGGCTCTGCTGTGGCGGCGTCACCTCCTTCCTCGGCGGGAAGCCCCGACCCCTCCGACTCCCCGCCTACGCCGCCGTCGGCAGCAGCGTTCGCCACGCCGCGCTGCCGCTCGCTCGGCAGCGATAGCCCAAAGGCACTCGGCAGCCACGGCTCGCCGTGCGCCGCCTCCCACTCCTCCATCACGCTGCCGCCGAGCTCATCGCACAGCAAAAGGAGGACGCCGGGTGTGCGCATCATCACCTTGCGCATGGTGCAGCGGCGGTACGTCTTGCTCGGCGCGTGCCACGCGCGCGACGTCGACTCGCTGCAAAAGCACGCGCCGAGCGCCTCCACAAAGCGCGGCGGCGCGCCTCCCTCGCCCCCGCCGGGCAGCTGCAGCTTGGTCACCATCGACTGCACACTCCTCGTCTCGGCGGGCTCCGCGTCGCCACCGAAGCGAGTCTCCTCGCGCCAGAGGGCGCCAAAAACGGCGTCGATCGGTGTCGACTCCTCCCGCGCCGCCGCGTCCGCGCCCGCGCGCGCGGCCGCCGCCTCGGCCTTCTCCGCCTCGGCGGCGAGCCGGGCGGCAAACTGGCGCGCGACCATCGCGTCGAGCGACGCCTTGCCTCCCTCGGCGCCGCCCGCGGCGCCGGTAAGCATCTCCATCTCGCGCTGCTTGGCTCGGCGCGCGTCCGCCTCCTCGCGGCTCCGCGCGGCCGCCAGCTTCGCCTCGCGTGCCTCCCTGCGCAGCTGCTCGAGCAA